ATGATCCAAAAGTTATTTAAAAAAAACTACAACTTACTTTTTTTTTAAGAATATAAAAAGTTTTTTTTTTTTTTTTAAAAAAAAATCGTAACTAACTAGATTTTAGTACTTCATAGGTTTTCCATTAGCCCCTATACAAGCGGCAACATGATTGGGCATACTTTTGATAAGCTTACGACAATACTCAGGTGATATGTCGTACCATGCTCTTTTAACAAGAATGTCGAGATCACAGAGGTTAGTTGGTTTTTGCTTCTGGCGTACAGATTTTTTTACTTCGGACCAAAGGTTCTCTATCGAATTGAGGTCTGGACTTTGGGGAAACCAATCCATTTTGCAAATTCTGTTTTCGTTAATAAATTCCATGGCTATAGTGGCGGTATGTGGCCTCACATTATCTTGCTGAAAAAGTGGGCGCCCATGAGCCATAATTTCTGGAAAATTCTATAGGACCGGCAAAACATACTTTCAAAGAATTTCAGTATGTGAAGCACCCGTGGCAGCAGACTTCAATAAAACGAGAGGCCCAACCCAAACCATGAGAAGCAGCCCCAATACATGTGACCCTGAGATTGCTTGACAGTACCATTCAAACACTCAATATCCCATTCTTCGTGCAGTTCACGTCAAACTCTATCAGATGAACTCTGAAAAAGGCAAATGGTAGTTTCGTCAGACCATAAGATACGACAAAAGTTTTGGATAGTCCAATCTTTGTGGGCAAGGCACCAATCAAGCCTTTTTTTTGCATTTTGGGAGAGACGAACGGTTTGGGGCAAGCAAGGCAAGATCTTAAGTTTTCTTCATGCAATGCTTGACAAACGGTAGATTTCGAAACTTTTTTTTTTCTTTCCTGAAGGTTAAAAAGATTAGTAATTTGGGTTAGGTTGAGGCGGTGATTTCCATTAACGACCAAACTCTTAAGGCCAGCATGATCAGAAGAGGTAAGGATCCTAGGGTGCCTAGGACATTTTTTTTTTTCTAAGGTATCTGTCTCACGAAACTTTCTTATAATGTTCCATGCAGCAAACTTACCACAACCGACAGCGGCCGCAATGGCACAGACTGAATCCTTTCTCAGGTGACCGTAAATTATTGAGCCTTTCTGTCTCTTAGTTAGGTTCTTCTTACTGTCCATTGTTTGGGACGATGTTCGATAATCAATCTAATTGTACCAATTCAACCTTTTTTAGAACAATGTGGCATTGCCCAAGTGTTACAAGTGTTACAAACGTTGTTCAGGTGTTCCAGAACATCAAGAAAAATTTTGTGATATGATTTCAAAAAAAAAAAATTAAAAGAAAAAAAAAAGAAAGAAAAAAGTTCAAATCTATTTTATATTTAATCTAAAAAAGTAGCTTGACATTATTTTCATATAACTTTTGTAATACAAAATAAAATTGGATGAAATTTTAATACATTATATTTTAATATCTATTAAATATATGGTAAAATTTTTATATTATATTTATTTATTTATTTTTGAATAATTAAAGAAAAAAAATTGTCCACAATAATATGGTATCCCACTGTACAAGCCCAAATTTTATTACTACAGAATAATCTACCTATAAATCCACCTCAAATATAAATATCGAATATGATAGGAAATGGATCACCTCTTTTTACTAGAAAAGCTGGAAAAGATTCATCAGATTGGGTTTTAGAATTCAAGAGATTTGTAATTGCATCTCGAATAAACATTATAGCTGGTGCAGAAGGAGTTGCTGGTAGAGCAGAATTATATGATTTAGTTATATCATGTATAATTGGTGAAGCAAAAACCTGGTTCGAGAATGAAATCAAAAGTAGAAATTGACAATGTAATAATATTCTTGATGGTACTGGCATGAACACCTAAATGCAATTCGATTATTAAATATGGAGGCTTAAAAAGTATTAATACAAATCAGTTTCTTGAAGAAGCATTAGTTGTAAGAAATAATGCTGGAGATAATAATACAATAACTGGTGCTAATATTATTCCAGTGGGTACATGAAATGAAGATTGGAGTATAGCTGGAGGGCATTCCGCACTTATAGAAACTCCATCCCCAGCCAATTATGCAAATGCTGATGCAGGTAATTCAATTGTTGCACCTGAAATAACTCTTGGACAATTTTTATACTGCCTTGAATATCTTTATCCCATGGTTGAAGTGCAAAAAAATTTGCTTTTCTTTGGTCAGATTGTGCAAGGAAGTATGTCAATACTCGAGTATAATGCCAAGATATTAAAACTCAGAAAACTTGCTGGATTACCAGAATCAAAAATGAGAGAGTAATATATTCGGGGATTAAATTCTATAAATCAATACAATGTTCGAATGATGGCTAATGTAACAATACAAATGGTGAATGGAGTGCCACAATATATGTCACACAAGTGGCACAGACAAGCCAATAGAAGGAGCATTGCAATTGGAATACAACTATT